AATGAGCATGAGCGTGCGTTGTTGCTTTTCTCTGGATTGTAACAGAGTGGGTGTATTCTGTCTGTTTCCTGTTGGATAAAGTGGATGTAGAAAATAAAATGAGTCGACTGAAATTGTGCTGAATAGACTTTCATTGATTTGAATTTAATCTAACGGAACTGAATGGATATGAATTTAATTGAATCTATTTAAATTTAATTTAGGTTGATTTAATTGAGAGAAAATATCTGAGCCTTTGATGATGTGAATATCTCTTTAAGACATATGTTTTGACAGAAAGAGAAAAAACAGATATATGCAGATATATAACAAAAGAACCATATATACGATGGTTATTTGAATATTCATAGTGTGATTGAAATCCAAATAAAGTTTGGCTTGGCTTTCATTTCTTTTTGTAATCAATCTACTAGTTTCCATGACTTGGAAATGGACTCTGGGGCACAGAGTGGGTTACTCGAGAAGAAAGTGTGAAAAACACTTGGGACAGAAATTCTTAGAAAACTCTTGGAAGACATTATATATAATAAAACTCAGTAAAATGAGTGCTGTTGAAAGAATTCAAGGCCCAAAAACACAAAAACTAAACACAACAACTCGACTTTCCGAAGAGTTTCTATTTTTACAACACAACTTCATGACATTGTTAGTTCACTATGTAATAAACCAATGAGGGCTGTTTTTGGATATCAAAAGCATATCTCTAGAACTACGTTACAAATATATAAATCTTTTTCAATTTGACAAATACTTATAAGTACTTTTAGATGAAGCTAACGCAGTTGGTTCTAGTTTCCAACTGACACTGCAATAGGACAGAAAATATTGTGTTTTTCCTAGATTACTTACTTGGATTATAACAACACGGGCTAAATGCTTGTCCTGGAGATAAATAGCTAATGAGTGTAACATAAACAGCTGGGCGGAATGTGAACTAATGCCTCGCAGTTTTTTCTCCTCTATTTTGGAAATTGAAATTCTTGACTTTTTCCACTTTCAACAGCTGGAAAAAAAAAAAAAAGGATAAGTGTTGACCCAGACTTAAAATGTTAGTTTTAATATAGCTCTGTACTGCTGATGACTCCAGATACATTTATGAGCATTAGCCAACAAAGCAAAACCAAAGTCTAGCCCAAACAAACTGGGATGAAAGGCGGCCTTTGATCCGTGGCCGACCGGAGTGACTTCAGCACTTCAGCTCAATTGTTTTCAGCTGAGGTTTCTCTGGGTGGCTTCACTTCAAGCTACAACTGAAACTGCCGGAACAGGATTTACTTAGGATTTAAGAACCACAAAGCTATTTCACCCAAAAAAAAAAAAAAAAAAACTCAGTTAAACTGAGCGGACTGCTATTATCACTAAAAGTTATTGTGATATAGCATGACAAAAGCTCCAACTTCGCATCTTTTGAGCTAAATATACACTGTCTTGCTAGCCTCCGAGTTCTGTCATTTCACACCATTACTAGTGAGCTCTAAGCTGAGGCAGCGACAGCCCACATTCCATCTGATCATAGTTGTGTGTGACATTTCAAAGAGGATTACGAGAATGAAATGTGATAAAAAAAAGTATTTTCACGTGACCCTCGAGCACTTGACCCCTGATAGGCTAGCGGAGAGTAGCACCATGACTCTGACTTTTTGCTTCTGAAAGCAGGGTAAAAAAAAAGATGGAAGAAAAAAAAACAACCACATCCGATCAGGACCATCAGATCAAAGCCGCGACTCGAAAATCTGTCTTGCGAGAACATGAAATCAACAGATGATCCATAACTATGAAACATAACAACATATTTGAGAAAAGCGAGCAATTATGCGAAGTAAAAACAGGCCTGAAATGAATCAAGCATAAGCTTTTGCTAAATGCCCCATACTCTCTCTCACATGCACACACCCTCTCTCCTCCCCATCTATTAAGATATTATTGTGTATTTGTTACTTGTGGCCAACATAAATAGCTCACGTGCTCGAGCATGTTGACAAAGCAACCATGGCTCATTGGCGGTTGATGGATGGCCGTGTGTGCCTTGCTAATTATTAGTACACATAAAAGGATGCTGTTATTTCCAGACCAGACCCCAGCCAGAGGGGTCACCGGGTAAACACAGAGCCATCAGTCTGCGACCATATCACTCAATCTTGATGTATGAGCGAAAAGGTACAAATTAAACGCGCAGAGACCGTTCTTGGGGGTACCGCGCTCAACTGGACGCCATTTGGGCTAATTCCACGTACGAGCTTCAGACAATAAGGCACTATGGAACACGTAATTGCTTTGTACACACACATCTGGTATCGGGCTCCCAGAGGAAGCCGATACACTTAAAAAAGGGGCCAACCATTTTAGATGTGCAAAATTTAGTATGTGTGGGTTGAACAAGTGAAGGGGGCATCCAGCTTATGTATGAACTCAAAACGCAGGTGAACAAATGACAAGTTAACGGCGTTCGTATATTCTCTCCTTAATGTTAATCGTTTGCTAATAAAAAAACAAACATTTTTGAGCATCCCGGTAGGGGAAGATAACACATTCAGCATGCCCAAGATCTCTCGATGTCTCTCTGCTGTCCAGATGCACTTTAGCTCAAAGCCAACGTGGTTCTCTTTGACGACAAGTCCACTTTCCAGACACAGCCCACTCTCTGACTTTTAAGTGTATAGCAGTCCAATTTTTTCTTGGCCGATCGGATTGGATGAGCCGGGCCCGCTAGCGTTGAATGTCAACTCCAAACTGATGCCTATATTGATCCGTGTAGCTGCTGACATCAACCACAGAATGACATGAGATCTGGGGAGTGTGAATCAGTATGTCCCAAATACCAAAAATAAGAAGGAAGGGTTTGAAGATTTTGACTGCCGCTAAAATGGGATTACCCCTATCTTTCAAAGTAATTCACAGGGATTAACGCTTTGTTAAGGCTATATGTATGTTTCGGCAGAAGCCATTTTTCTTAGTTTTTGTGCAGCTTCGAAGAATATTTTAAAACCCAAGTACAAATATTTATAACTTTATTGATAGTTTACTTGTACAAGTTGTACATTCATATTATGTGAATCAAAAGGGGAATAAAACAAACTGTACGATGATTCATGTTTAGGCATGCTTGCATATGAAATGGTAATCATTTTGATGGGTACAACAAATTCCATGGAGTATAGTTTAATTCAACCATCCCTGAAATGTCTGTAAACTCGGACACGCTACATTTTTTTTTAGGCAAACAATGCACTACTGCCACACCTCCTAATTCAAATTCAACCATTAAAAATAAAAAAAACATACAAAAATAAAAGCCAAGCCATGTAAAAATGTACAATTGTAGTTCAACTATTTAATTTTTCATAAACTTTCAGACAGAATAATAAATAAAACACCCATATGTTTAATTTAAAATGGAGACATAGATAAACATTTCTAAATGGAGGTCTGTTAACAGAGAAAGTGATGTTTGGGGACTGTCAGAAGTACATGGAACTGAAAAGGATCTACTTTTTTTTAGTGCAGCAGCATTGAAATGATGTTAAAATTATCCTTAATTTCAATCTTACTATTTTGTGTGGAGCAATTTATAAAGTACTCTCTGAATGATCTGAAATGAATGATGAGTCACATAAGACATGCAAAATAAAAACTACTCATATTGTAAAAAAAACAAAAAAAAACAAAAATAACTGCTCGTTTAGGGTTGCAGTGCTGACTTGTTGATTTAATCATTAATATTTCCCAGTATCTAAAAGGCAAATTAGATCTGTGTAGACCTGGTTTGGGGTGACTTCTCTTGAACAAAACATATTTCCCACTGCTGTAAAACAAGAAATGCAATTCTCCAACAGTGCATAAAAATAACCACAAAAAAAATCATTGGGCTTCTTTTTTGTCGAGGATTAACTGCTAACTGTTTTTAACCTTTTTTTCTTTTTTTTTTCCTTTTTTTACTATTTACAGTATTGCACTTAAACTGCACACCATTGCATTTCAGTTTGACTGATGCTTTGTTCATATTTTCAAAAAGTACAAAAGAAGAAAAGAAAAACCAAAATCCCATTGATACCCTTTTAATCCGAGATAGTGCCATTTTTGCTGATCACATGACAATATCTGACCCCCCCCCCCCCCCCCACCCCCCCCAACACCCTTATTTTTGTTGTTAGTAAAGTAGTATCTGCTTGTAGTGCCATTTGTAAACACCCACATACAAGACCTGAAGTGCAAAAGGCTATCTTCAATTTCTTTACCCAAGATACAACACAACGAGAAGGAAATAAAGGACACAGAGAGAGAAGGAGAGCACACTGTGAGGAGAAATGCAAAGAAAGTCTGTCCGGCAACGCGCAACATTGTCTCTCTCCCCTTCCGTGAGCAAAGAAAAAAGGGAGAAATTGTCGCTTTCATTACAGCACAAGTCCAAGAGGAGAAGAATGGGACTGGGATGGAG